CAAGGCACATATCAACGTCTAGCACAAATAAGGCACAAGCAAGGTATTTATAAGCGATGTATCAACTCTTTAAATCACCGTGAGCAAGACAACATTTAAGAACAGTCATGCCGTGGCATTTAGTCGTTATCTGCCCTTGAAATCGTAACCACAATAACCACATATCTGTCGTTGCGATGCTGCAGAAAACGAGCGGTTTTCAGGTGACCCTTTCATTGTCAGCCGGCCGGATCTTATTGGCTATCCTTGAAAAAGCACATCCTCGAAAAGACACATATCCTTGGAAAAGTACATCCTTGAAAATGCACATCCTTGAAAAGGCATATATCCTTGAAACCAGTCCCTTCAAGGGTCAACAACTTCTGACAAACAAACCTTGCATTAATCAACGGAAGTTTCTCTGCCTATTCTGTTTAGATCGATTTATCTATCAGCAGAAGTCCGATTCTGGAATGCGTGGTATACCGATCACACTACCATAAGGGCGGGAAATGTCAATATCAACGCAAATATTGAAATCTGAAGAAAAGTCGCACGCTTTACTAGTTTTTGGGTGCGAAATTTTCCTCGACGATAACAGTTGCCGTACAAATTAAGTTGACATAATGTTCACAGTATGAAAATTGAATAGCTGGAATAGTATTCAAATTTTCAGACTGCTTTCTCATTTACGAGCGGAGCGTTGCGCTTAGTGAAGGAATTACATATCAGACCACCCGGCTAGTGTGGCGGCTGACTGCGTAGATGGTCACATTCAGGGGTAGATAGGCGGGGGGCGGGAGCCAGTGGGGCGCGGCCAGCGGGTCAGTGGGGCACCGGTGGGCCCTAGCGGTACCCTGACAGCTGCATGGTGGTGCCAGCTGTTGTGTGGCGCACGCTGCTGTGTGGCGCACGCTGCTGTGTGGCGCACGCTGCTGTATGGTGCACGCTGCTGTGTGGCGCACGCTGCTGTGTGGCGCACGCTGCTGTGTGGCGCACGCTGGTGTATGGCGCGCGCTGCTATATGGCGAATTGGGAATAGAAGGAAACGCACTCTAAAGGATCAGAGATTTTCCGGTAGCTAGACGACAACGTACGTGTCAGTATTAACAACCGTATTTACGTATACTAAGGATAAGGATACTAAGGCGCTCGCTGCTGTGTGGAGCACGCTGGTGTATGGCGCACGCTGGACACAAAGCCCCCTTGTGTAAGTGATGTGTGCCGCGCGAGGGAGAGCTTCCCTCCCCGTCTTCCCTCTGCTTCCGGCGCGCATTTAACGCCCTTATCATCAGCGGGTGATCATCGTATCATTGAGATGATGATGCATCCTGGCATCATCAGCGGGTGATCATCGTATCATTGAGATTATGATGCATCCTGGCACCATCAGCGGGTGATCATCGTATCATTGAGATGATGATGCATCCTGGCACCATCAGCGGGTGATCATCGTATCATTGAGATTATGATGCATCCTGGCGCCAATAGGATGATGAATTAACCCCACCAAGAGGGTGATGAATACACATAAATTGCGATGAGTACGATGGTTGTATCAAGTGTCGGGAGACGAGATTTTTTACGGGCTTGTGAAGGAAGGGAATACGCGTGATGTTCGTGAGATGTTGCGCCTGATGCTTCTGTTCATGTCAGTTGCTCTGTTGATGTTATGACGAACTGACGAGTTGGAACAACATCAACGGCTATTGTCAGTTGGTCTAGCATCAACGGCCGTACTGACGAGTTGGTTCATCGCAGCAACGTATTGACTGGTGATCTATACGTCAACACGTCGTCAACGTGTCGTTAGCATGCACATTGCTTCGGCGTTTAGTCACTGTATGCAACTGTACTCTATAGTCGACTTCGTAGAGTACAATCCCGATAGCCTCATTGTTTGTTCTCCGATGACGTGACTTTATCTGAGCCTTTCGGGGTGAATGTCTGAGCAGGTTACCACTTCTGATTGTTGTCATCAGCACGGCAATTTGATATTGCAAGACATGAAGCTCATGCGGACCAGAGTTGAATTGTTCCGTCATCACTCCTACGCCGATGAGGGGTCGGTGTGGGATGAAGAGGCGGGGTTTCAGGGGGGAGGGAGCTGGTGTGGTGCCCACTATGTTGCAGGAATCACGGTGAGTCATCGTCCGCACCACAAGAATAACTTGACTCATCATGTCTGGGCTGCTGCGTTATAGCTGTGGCTATATCGGCCTAGTGCTGTGTTTACAGTGCGGTGTTGTGTTGATAGTGCTGTGCTGTGTGAGGAAGTGTGCTATATTCCCTAGTACATTCCGTTCCGTGGTGTTGCACTGCACCACCAAATGCAGACTGTGCAGTGCACCACCAAGTGCAGTGCAGTGCACCACACCACTTGCCGCCCATGCCCTAACACGGCTTCCCCACGGGCGTGGTCCCGATTTTCCTCCCCATGCCATGCATGTCCCCACACGAGGTGTTTGCCCCCTTGTCCCCAGCGCGCGTCGCTCGCTTAGCTCCCATGCAGGGGCGTTGCTTCGAAACGGCGCTATACCAGCAACGGCTTAAACCGCTATTCTATAGCAGCAACGGCTTAAACCGCTATTCTATAGCAGCAACGGCTATTCTATAGCAGCAACGGCTAGTCTATAGCGGCTTAAACGATATACCAACGCCGCTCCTGTGTATGCCAACCCAACGCTGCTCTGCTGAACCTTATAACTTGCTAGCACTAGCGTTGCCAGCACCTCGTCTATGCCAGCACTAGCGTTGCCAGTACCCTATCTATGCCAGCACTAGCGTTGCCAGTACCTTATCTATGTATCTATTAATTTACCAAAGGTAAGATGGCACGTGCAGCCCACAAGTTGAAATGGCCACTGCCAAAAAAAGTTGAATTGCCCGATTGAGCAGCACTAGCGTTGCCAGCACCTTTTCTATGTCAACTGTAAATCTGTAATGATTCTGGTGTTGGGTTTGCTGTTTATACTAACGTTGGCAGCGAGACGCACGAGCATCGCTAAGCGGTGCCTGCGCTGGACCGGGCGGCCGCTTGCGCTCAACGTAACGTGCGTGACAGGGCGGTGGTTCAACTTCCGATAGTTAATACATATTTTATTTATTAATTGATAAGTTGCGCGAGTGACTCATCGATTGCCTGTCAAATAAGGTGATGTGTTTGTTTGGATTTAAAAAATGATTTTTCAATCTTCCATGATGAAATCATTCGGAAATTAAGAGATAACTGATGCCAAGCCTGTGTCTGCCTAACGTATGGCCAGTCTATGCCAGTCCGATCTGCTTACATATGCCGTACGTCTGTCGTGCGCACATCATGAATAGCCGTAGAATAGCCGTAGTGTATGTACACATATTTGTGCTTCACTGCTTTCTTCTCGCCATGAGCGTCCCCCAGTCGCCCATGTGTCGCCCACTCGTGCCAGGTTAACGGTTGTGCTTTCGCTCGGTTGTGGGCGACACGAGCTAAACATTTGAGTTATAGCGCTGTGCTTGCTGCGTGCATAGAGTGTGAGGGTGGCGGGTGTGAGGGTGGCGGGTGTATGAGGGTGGCTGGTGTGTGAGGGTGGCTGGTGTGAGGGTGGCGGGTGTGTGAGGGTGGCTGCTGTGTGAGGGTGACTGGTGTGTGAGGGTGGCTGGGGTGAGGGTGGCTGGTGTGAGGGTGGCTGGTGTGTGAGGGTGGCTGGTGTGTGAGGGTGGCTGGTGTGTGAGGGTGGCTGGTGTGTGAGGGTGGCTGGTGTGTGAGGGTGGCTGGTGTGTGAGGGTGGCTGGGGTGAGGGTAGCAAGCAAGCGTGTACGGTACGCTGCATGCTCTGGTCTGGACTCTGTGCCATCACATCAACGCCATATAAAAAACGTGGTGATGGTCGCTTGTATTGAATATTATTTATTGATATGAAATCTCGGCTCCCGCTTGATGCTGCAGGGGACGAATTATCTCCAGAATTTTGAAAATTTACTTAATTTTTTTTTCCGAAATATTGTCCATATTTTACCCGCGTAAAATATATTTTGAAGTTTAGTACAAACGTTTGTTTTTAAGGGCATTGAAAATGTGTTTTTTTTTGCACGCACTTGACATCTTGTTAACTTAGTTGCTCGGTATTTACGAGTCTAAATAAAGCTTGTGAGATACACGTGCTCTTAAGGTATTCTAAGGATGGTTGAACTGAATATGCCGACGTCAGTGAGTAAGTATTGTGAACGCTACGTTTCGTTTTTCTGCCTCGCAAACTTATGTGATTGGTGACGAACTTCTAGAATGAAATTCTTGAAGAAACAAGTAACAATTTTGTAAGAAACATCCATTTTTGTGAAGAATTGTTAGCATAAGTGAAATGAACGTGTGCTGCCTAAGCTTACCAACCGTTAAGCTAAAATGTAGCTTTGTGCAACAAAAAATATTGCCGTAAAAGAGAGAAAACATGCAATCATTCGCACCAGTTGGTTCCTGCCACTAAACATGAATAATAATAACAGATTTCAGTTCATCAAGACAACTGTTCACTCGCCGGCGTCTCTGCAGAGTTTTCAGTAACAACGAGCGTCGCCCTAACAGGCGCACAGAGAGCGGACACCGACACACACATGCACTCACCAAGGCAGCGCGCCGCGCACTGACCGTCCTCGTCGCGGTGGCCCTTGTTTCCCCATGTTTCTCCTGTGGCGCAACATTGACCTTTTCTCATCGAGATTTCATTCATTCCTTCAAAAATGAAATCTGCCATCACCATGAATACGTTATTGTCATATGTTATTGGTAGCCGCGGAGTTGCCTTAATCTAGCTACAAACCTCAGCCTATTCTTTTGCGTAACTTTTCTGGCGTTGAAAAGAATTGCTGCAAATTTTCTATCATATTAAGTTGACTTCGTGCTAATCAATGTATGTATAATTTTATTCAGCGATTATTTATGAGATTTAGAGCGCGGTATAGATTATTATCGCTATACAGCGATGCATTTTTTATTGCATTTTTCTCATCAATTGCTATGCATTTTTACTGTATGAATTGTGCAGCTGAGCAGCCTGCTGGCGACGAGGGACGACGGGGGCAGCGTGCCCCTGGAGGCGGCCCTCATGGAGGGCTTGGTGACCGTGGCAGACCTGCTGCTGCAGCACGGCGCTCCCCTCGACGACTTGGACGCTAAGGGCGCGACGCTCCTGCACCGGGCCATACGCAGAGGTGAGCTCATCAACGGCTTCTGGCTTTATAGCGAATGGGAAGGTTCTTGCTGCCTTATTTGGAACCTTCAGCCTATATCGATCGTTCGTATAATTTATATCTAATCTAATTTGACTTAGATAACGGATAGCTCAAAGTAATTATGACAAATTCGCGTTAACCCCGAGGCCCCAGTTGCGAGGCGAGTCCTTGGGCTCGACAGGCGACGAAGGTGGTACCTCAGCGTGGCCTTGGTCACGGACTTCCAAAACTCACATCGGGCATAAATTAAGAGCCAATAAAAATAGCGTAAAGTGGCCTGCCGTGCCACCTCGCATCGGTTAAACTTGTGTAGCCTTCATAGGAACCTACCATTATACGTTGGAAACAAGAAGTTAGGAATTAAAGACTTTTGTGTGAACCGTCCCGAGGGCCGGTCTAGGGCTGCTGGGAAATCTTGCTTGCTTGTCGAATATTACTGCTCCATAGATGATTTTTCTATGATTTTGTTGCTGAAAAGGAATAATTTAAAATGTAGTTCTATGGCTGCAACGCTCGACCAGGCACTGCATTATTCTCGAATACAGAAATTCTCAAAATTCGTAACGTAACGTTAAGCGTCCTTTTATTTCTAAATAACATTTTAAAATATTTAAACAATAAGTACAATTATACTGTTGCACTTGGAACGTGCTGGTTTTTATTAGGGATAGAACTCGATGTATCAATGAAAGGGGGCCAGTAGATGCAGTGTACCTCGATTTTGTTTAGGCATTTGACAGTGTCCCACATGAGCGGCTGTTGCGTAAATTGAAGTCTTTGGGAATTGAGAGTAATGTACTCATATGGATCAGAGATTTTCTAGTAGGGAGGCGACAACGTGTCAGTATTAATGGGTCCGTATCAGACTGGGCTTCAGTGCGCAGCGGCGTGCCACAAGGAAGCGTTCTCGGGCCTATTCTATTCGTTGCGTTTATAAACGATCTGCCAGAAGCTGTGTCTAGCGTTTGCTCGATGTATGCTGACGACACAAAAAATTATAATACAGTGAAGATCAGTACAGTTGCAAGCAGTACAGCAATCAGTACAGTTGCAAGGTGATCTTGACAGGCTGGTTGACTGGGCTGATAAGTGGCAGCTGCGTTTTAACGCTGACAAATGTAAAGTTATCCACCTTGGCAAGAATAATGAACAGCAAGATTACAGTATGAGAAGACACGGTTGCAACGACAGAGTGATGATGTCGAAGTCGACAACGGAAAAGGATTTGGGAGTTAACATCGACAATGAGTTGAAATTTTCTAAGCATATTGAAGGTCAAGTTAATAAAGCCAATAAACGACTTGGACTGATCAGACGCTCTTTCGAGTTCCTAGATGCAGAAACGATGAAGCAGTTGTTTGTTGCTGTCGTGCGCCCGAACCTGGAGTTTGGAAACGTCGTATGGTCACCGAAATTTGAAAAAGACAGAAATTTAGTAGAGAGTGTTCAAAGACGCGCAACAATTAAGGATAGTTCCGGGCTTGAAAGGCAAGTCCTATGAGGAAAGATTAAAGATTATGAAGCTTCCAAGCCTCAGTTATCGACGTCTGCGTGGGGACCTCATTGAAGAATACAAGTATACTCATGACTTATACAAGGTCCCAGAAGGATTACCGGTACTAGAATTTGAAACAAGAACCAACACAGGGGCCACGGCTATAAACTAAAAAAACAGCGTTGGAACACATCCATGCGACAAAATTTCTTCTCGCTTCGAGTCACCGACATGTGGAACAGCCTCCCTGATAGCATCGTTGACGCTCCGAGTATGAACATCTTCAAAAACAGACTAGACGAAGCTATGCAGGAGCATATGTTCAGTCTTAAAATGCCTAGCAAATTACGGACCAGGCAATAAGTCCAGCAGCTATCTCAATCAATCGTTAGCTATGGAAAGATCGGCTTCCAAAGGCCGGATCCCTTGTGAATCAAGTCACGAAAAGTTCAAGAATCGGCAACAGGCCATGGGCCTATTTTTTAAACGCCAACACTTCTATCCTATCCTAATTCAATTTAAATCAAAACGCGTGTGTTGATGCTCTTGACAGCTTGCATAAACCATCACGAACTTATCTATTTGGTCTTGGCAACCTAGCTGGGTCCATAGTTTCAAAACTGGCTAAGTGAACGTAAGTACTTACGCTCTATTTCCTTGTCTATGATTGGTGGATTTTGCTTGAAAGGCCGTCAATGATTGGCTGATGAACTTGAGACCTCTTAACTTTTTTTGAAAGTATAGGCCAAAAAGGGCAGGAACTTATCGCTTCTCTCCCTCAGGAGACGCGGCCAGTGTCAGGTTCCTTGTGTCGCGGGGGGCGAGCGTGCACCTGCATGAGGGGGGGTCGGGGTACACCCCCCTACACCTGCTGGTGGCCCCTGTGGGGGGACGTGTGTCCCCCAACCACTCCCCTAGAGGGGGTTATGTGGGACATCGGGGCGGCGGATGTCATAACGAGGAAGAACGAGACAACAGAAGCGAGGGTGACGACAGGTTGGGTGACAACAGTAGAGAGGGTAAAGCGAGGAGCGGGGAGGGGGGGACTTGTAATGGGGGAGGCGCCCCCCGGACCTTCTCCCCTCAGGAGCGGGTGGCTCTCACCGCCATGCTGCTGGAGAAGGGCGCTGACCCTCGTGCCCAGGACCTCAGACGCAGGTGAGGGTTAACATTAAAGCAATAAATACATTTAAATATTGGAACAAGCAGCTAACTTTGATGACATTATGTAAATTATTGATAAATTATATTATTTATCAGGACGGCGCTGCACGTGGCGGTGGTGGGGGGCGAGGTGGGTGTGGTCCGCGCGCTGCTCGCACACTCGCGCGCGGCGCTCGAGGTGCGGGACTGCGAGGACCACACGCCGCTGTGGTGCGCGCTCTTCTGTGGTACCGCGTCCCCCGCCGGGGCGTCCCTCAGCGGCGGCGACTCGGCGGCGGCGCTGCTGGTGGCGGCGGGGGCGGACCTCAGCGTGGTGAGGGGGGGAGACGGGGGAAATGAAATGAGGGGAGCAGGTAGAGGGAAGGTACAGTAGTTGAAGAGGGAAGGTACAGTAGTTGAAGAGGGAAGGTACAGTAGTTGAAGAGGGAAGGTACAGGAGGAAAAGCGACTTTTTTGTCAGTTTTGATGAGTACTGAGGCTACGTTTGACGGCTTTGGCTCATTAGCTGCAAAAGGCAGACTAAAGATGGTGTGGATCTGGTGGGCATCCCGAACAAGAGAAGCGGCGCCAGTGATTACACTCTTCAGAGCCCTCGTGCTCTCCATTTTGAAGTACTGCTGCCATCTTTGGGCGCCACTACTACTTTGAGCGTAGCGCGATGCGGCAATTGGAGGCAGTCCAACGGACCTCTACGTCCAGGATCAGCGGGATGATAGACCTGCGCTACTGGGACAGGCTGGAACATCTGGTGCTGTACTCATTAGAGAGAAGGGAGGTGTATCATATTGTACTCTTGGAAAATGATAACCGGACTGGCTCCGGAGTTTGAGAGTGAGACCTCCAGAATAGTGACACGTTACGTTAACGAAAGGAGGGGGAGACTGTGCAGGCAGATGTGGCCGGCGGAGGGAATAATAAAGCTGCTCTAAATGTAACTATAATGAGGGTCTACCTCGTGTCCCCAGACCCTGGGGCGTGGTGGGGACACGTAACTATAATGAGGGTCTACCTCGTGTCCCCAGACCCTGGCGCGTGGTGGGGACATGTAACTATAATGAGGGTCTACCTCGTGTCCCCAGACCCAGGGGCGTGGTGGGGACATGTAACTATAATGAGGGTCTACCTCGTGTCCCCAGACCCTGGGGCGTGGTGGGGACACGCTGCTGCACACCGCCGCCAGGAGGGGGGCGGGGGAGGTGGGGGTGTTCCTCACGACGTCGGGGGCGCCTGTGAACGTCCCCAACGAGGGGGGCGAGACTCCCCTGCACTGCTCCTGCACCAACGGCCTCCCCCTCCTGACGGAGGCGCTTATTAAGGTGGGTGGTGGTGGTGGTGATGGTTGTGGCGTGGGTGGTGGTGGTGGTGTTTATTAGTTAAAATTTAACTCAAATTTAATAAAATACCAGAAGCACAACTATCTATTACACAGGAATAATTTACGCAGCTTATTAAGAAAGATACGAACTTCCATCTTCCCTTCACTTTGGCTATAGCGAGGTGACAGCAGAGAACAACACTAGCTGTGATCAGCTCAATTTTTAGTAGGGAGAAAACCTAGGCTGCCAGTAACACCACTAGACTGTCAGTAACACCACTAGACTGTCAGTAACACCACTTAGCTGTCAGTAACACCACTAGGCTGTCAGTAACGCCACTAGGCTGTCAGTAACACCACTAGGCTGTTAGTTACGCCACTAACACCAGGTATTTCATATTATCAGCCCTCAGCTGACTGCTCAAGGTCACGGTCAGCTGCCATCTGACACTTATTCATTGGTCTTCTTAAATCGCAAGTTTAACAAGAATGTAACCGCAAATTTGTAAAAATTGAGAAAAAGGACAAATGTTGCTTTTTCAATCTGTTCAAATTTTTAATTGATGAAGAAGCTGGTCACCGAAACAGGAAAAAGATACGGCAAATTGACCTTTTCTTTGTATTTAAATTCGATTGCCACTAACACTGCAGCGACTGCTGGTCTCGGCCAACTGCAGCACGTCAAGCTTCCTGCAGCCTCGTGTCTATGTCACGACTGCTTGACGCGTGCGCTCTCGTACATTCTTGTACACGAAGCAAGGATGCGTGTAAAGTCCTAAAAAGCATAATTTAAATTAAAAGTTATTATGGAACGGCAGATTCCTGTCGTTTACACGACCATTACCTCTCGCCCTGAGCCTCTGGGTTACTGCGAGCCCTGAGTCTTTGGGTCACTGCGAGCCCTGAGTCTCTGAGTCTCTGTGAGCCCTGGGCCTCCGTGCCCCAGAAGCTCCACTGGAGGCGCGGGGAGCTGATGGCGGCGTCGGCGGCGCTCCAATTTTTGGTCAAATACTGCCATGTCATAGACAGTATTTGGTCATGCCTCCCCCGCTCCTCAAATTCTATACACCGACGCCCCTCCTCCTCCCCTCACAGCACGGCGCCAACCCTAACCTGGTGACGCTGGCGTCGCCCTCGTCGCCCCTCGCCCGTCCCTCGCCCAGCGCGTCGCTGTCGTCGAGGGCGAGCGACGACACGACGCTCTCGACGAACCCCTTCGATGAACCTGACACCCCTCCCCCCGTGGTCCCCACGCTCCCCCTCACCCCCGTGTACAGGGAAACGCCCCTGCACCGCGCGATCGCGGGGCGCCATCTGCGCGACGTCCTGATGCTGCTCACCACCCGCGGTATGGGGAGTAGAGGGGAGTGGGGCTAGTGGGTCAGGGACATGACAGTGATGGGTCAGAGGGCCGTTATAGTTGAGTTATAATTAAAGAATATGCTGCGTAAATGACTTGAGTTTATTCGTCTCATGAGTATCATAAAATTGTCTGCCAGGTCCTCCTGATGTCCCTCGTCGGGACCTGGAGCTGCGGGACTCGCGGGGCGTCACGCCCCTCGGGGCGGCGCTTGCCCTCGGCTTCCTGCAGGCGGCCGAGCTGCTCGTGCAAGAAGGTCAGGGGGTGCGAGGGGAGGAGGGAGTGAGGGGGTGAGAGTTAGAGGGGAGGGAGTGAGGGGGTGAGAGTTAGAGGGGAGGGAGTGAGGGGTGAGAGTTAGAGGGGAGGGAGTGGGGGGTGAGAGTTAGAAGGGAGGGGAAAGAGGGGGTGAGAGGGGAGGGTATGTGAGGGGAGTGAGGACGAAGTCATGCCATGTTGGTGGTAGCTTGAGCCGTTATAGACGCTCTCTACTATGCACTACTGCTGCCGTCTCGTCATGTCCAAGTCTATGTAGTGCAATGCATTACTTAGCTCAACTTCATAATGCATTACTCATGTCAACTTCTTACTTCTGTCAACTTCTTACTCATGTCAACTTCTTACTTACGTCAACTTCTTACTTCTGTCAACTTATTACATATGTCAACTTCTTACTTCTGTCAACTTATTACATATGTCAACTTCTTACTTACGTCAACTTNTCACCCCTCACCGCCCTCACCCTCACTACCCTCACCCATCACTACCCTCACCCTCACTACCCTCACCCATCACTACCCTCACCCCCACTACCCTCACCCCTCACTACCCTCACCCTTACTACCCTCACCCTCACTACCCTCACCCTCACTACCCTCACCCTCACTACCCTCACCCATCACTACCCTCACCCTCACTACCCTCACCCATCACTACCCTCACCATCACTACCCTCACCATCACTACCCTCACCCCTCACTACCCTCACCCCTCACTACCCTCACCCATCACTACCCTCACCCCTCAATACCCTTGGAAAAATACATTTATATTATTTGTTGACGTGTAAGGAGGCAAAATAAAGTTCATTAATCTTCACATAAGAGGTTTGCATGTGTTATATCGCAAAATAACTGCGCTATTATTATATTATATAACTATTTTTAGGCATTTACCTAATTGTGACCTACAAACGATACACAGCTGTGCGTACTGAGCGATAAAATTACTTCTATTTATCGATAGCCATAGATATTATTGATATTAATTGATAAAATCAATATCCAGCCAAAAGGCCGCATAGGAGCGAAGCACAGTTCACTAATGAGATAATCACCACTTTACTAATTAAAATCCAGCACGATGAGCAAAGCGCAGTTCACTAATGAGATAAAATAATGAGGTTGTTAAGTGGAGCGTCTTGTTAAGACTCTCACGCCCCCCCCCCCCCCCAACAGTAACAGGGACGGGGAGACGCCCCTGGAGCTGTGCATCCATGGGGGCGTCACGGACGAGAGTCTGCTGGAGGAGCTGTGTAGGGGCGCCGCCCCTGGAGGAGGGGGGCGGCAGGGGGCGCTCGACAAGGACCCTCCGCTGTGGCAGGCGCTCGTCGCCGGGCGTCTTGATGTCGCCAGCCTCCTCATCAAGTCTGACTTTTTACTACAATATTTTTACAATATTTTTAAATTTTTTTAACATTGCTGGAATCAATTGACAGAATAAATAATGTACAAAAAGTATATTTTTTTTAAATGAATAAAAAGTAATAAAAAGTTGTAAACGCATAATATTAATTGCAAGACTTCTCTTTAAATTCACTTCTTCTTGTTGTTTGTTTGCCTGCTACAAATCTTATAATCAATATTTAAAACACTTCTAATTTTTCAATTGATCTGAAATTTTGCACACTTGTGTTAAGTCGGAGACAATGCAGGTATCAATTGACAGAATAAATAATTTTAGAAATTTAAAATATTTTATATCTAAAAATGAAAAATTATTTTTTATTTATTTGAAAATAAAATTAGAAATTTATTGTACAAGTGTAACATCAAAGACACTGGATTCTTTAGAAGTGTTCTCTCTAAAAAGTAATTTTTAAATGCATATTATTATGACTCGATGCCATAGTGATTAATTGAAACTTGTTTTTTGATTATCTTATCTGAATAAATGAAGACGCAATTTAATTTATTAGCATCAGTACTGATAAGTGAAGGACGACGTTGAAGCTTCTCATCAAATCATAAAATATCTCGTGATTGTGCGTGAAATGTGACTTAGTAACAGACGAAAATCAACATAATTATTTATTTTAATCATCATAATTAATGACGGCAGACACGGCGCTGACGTGAACGCCTGGCACGAGGGAGGAGACGGCGGCACGCAGACGCTCCTGCACCGTGCCCTCGGTAGGTGCCTCCTGCACCGTGCCCTCGGTAGGTGCCTCCTGCACCGTGCCCTCGGTAGGTGCTGCCTCCTGCACCGTGCCCTCGGTAGGTGCTGCCTCCTGCACCGTGCCCTCGGTAGGTGCCTCCTGCAGACAGCCTCTAGGACAGGATATGGCAGGTGAAAGAGAGGAGGAGCACCAATATGGCGGTCGCCTACACGGACTCTTCCACAAAAAAAATCACTCAGTACTCACTGTAGTGAGTGACAGAGAGCGCATTTTCTCGTCGACGAACACATGAAATCACGGACAGACAGACAGACGGACGGACGGACGGACATGGCGAGCACAATAGTGCATTTTTTCCATAAATGGGAAAATGCGCTGAAAAGTGACGATGAAAGTCATGGGGAAGAAATGTGGCAGAAGAGATGCCATGTGGCCTGGGGACTGGGGAGGTCCTGGACATGCTACAGGCGGCGCCCCGCCTTGAACGTGTGGACGCCAGGGAGCTCTGTGGCTGTGGCATGACCGATGCTGCGTGAGCGCTCAATGGTAAGGCCGGCAGTCCTTGCACGTGATCTGAGTGGCAGCCAAAGTGGTCGGCGATCTGCAGGCCAAATGAAATCTACAAAGAATCCCAAGGATCGCCTTTGTAGATGAAGGATCCAAAGGATCGCGATCCTTTGGATCACTTGCCAAAGTGCCAGGCGATCTGCAGGCCAAATGACATCTACAAAGAATATAAAGGAGCGCCTTTGTAGATGAAAGATCCAAAGGATCGCGATCCTTTGGATCACTTGCCAAAGTGCCAGGCGATTTGCAGGCGTGGCAGGCGATCAGAGTGGGAGTGGCAGCCAAAGACGACTGTTTGCCGACGCAGGGACCGCTTGGCCGCCTGAGCTGCTTGTATGAAAGCCATTCAACGCTACATCGACTGCGAGAGAAAATGAGTATAACGCGAGGATTATTCTGTCCGAAGTAAGAGTTAGTTCTCCCTCAGCCTTGTGACCTCCATTTGTATTCCCCCAGAGGAGGGGCTGGAGGAGGGCGCGGTGTTGCTGCTGGGGAGCGGCTGTGACGTGAACAGCCCTCGCCGCCCCAAGGGAGGACATGGTGGGGACATGCTCACCCCCCTGCACCTCTGCGCCCTGTGGGGCCTTGCGACCGCCGCCCTCGCCCTCACCCAACGGGGGGCCAAGATCAACGCCCAGGTGGGCCAGGGGGAGTGGCAGGGCCACGGGGAGTGGCATGGCCAGGGGCAGTGGCAGGGCCAGGGGGAGTGGCAGGGCCTGAGGGAAACCGTGTGCTGGGGGACCTGACGCAGGGCTGGAGTGGTGGAGGGAATGTGTGCCTGCTAAACACGTTGCACTAGCGCCATTTCTCTCTGTTTGCCGCGACTCTTTATATCATCGCTATGTTGCCTGCCACAGCTCGCTGTGCTGTACGACATGTAGGCAGTACCATGCACTCATACCAACACCTGCGCTGGGCGGGATGTGTCTGCACGGCTCTTTACTATCCTTCTAACCTTCCAAACTCCTATAGGACGCGCAGGGCAGGACGCCCCTACCTCGCCCCCTCTTCCTAACCTTCCTTCCCCTCGCAGGACGCGCAGGGCAGGACGCCCCTACCTCGCCCTCTCTTCCTAACCTTCCTTCCCCTCGTAGGACGCGCAGGGCAGGACGCCCCTACCTCGCCTCCTCTTCCTAACCTTCCTTCCCCTCGCAGGACGCGCAGGGCAGGACGCTCTACCTCGCCTCCTCTTCCTAACCTTCCTTCCCCTCGTAGGACGCGCAGGGCAGGACGCCCCTGCACGTCGCCGTCGAGGGCGGCCACACGGAGGTGGTGACGCAGCTGCTGCAGGTGGCGTCCCTCGACGCCGCCGTGAAGGACGCCAGTGGCGCCACGCCCTTCGCCACAGCCATCGCCCGCCGCCACCACGCCGCCGCCAGGGCCATCCTGCAGCGTGACCCCAGGGCCGCTCAGCAGGTGGGTGGCGGGGAGCTGGGCTAGTCTTGTGGCTGTCCGGAGTGCTACTTCAGCACTTCAATCTTATCTGTCGCATTAGTAATAACTCTAATAACTCGTCGGTTATCTTGAGACTGTTTGATTATAGCTGCTCTTGAATGCACGCTTCGATAAGCACTGAACTTTATGAAGGAAAAATCGCCGCTCTTAACTCCGTAGGTATTCCCTGTTGCCTACATCTAGCGGAAATCTGAACTCGTGGTCGGTCTTTTTGTAGAACTTTGATGTACAGTACGGAGGAATGTTGTAGTAGTGCTGTAGTAGACGAGGTAATAAGAAGGCATCCAAGCCATCAAGACGATACTCTCACTTGGATGCGCCAGAAGGCGAGGTGAGAAATGCTGTCGAGATGTCAGGGGAAAGGTACCGAGAACATCGGAACTAGGCTCCGCCAGACTCTGTCTCTCGCACCCAGCTCCCGGGTTCGAGTCCCACTGAGGACAAGTTCTTCCGGGAAGCTCAGCTCATGGTCAACTCAGCCATTCATCCGACTCTGGTTGATAACTGAATACCTGGCTTGTCCAGGGTGTTGTGCAATGCAAAAATGGTTCTGGCGGGTCAGCGAGCCAGTGATGGTCGTAGAACTACCATTGGTACCGAGTGCCCGGAAAAACTGACCTATCACCCCCCCTCCCTAGTCGCCACTACCAGGATGGGCAATTACAACAACAACAACACAGCCGGGGACTGTGGGATGCCCACGCTAGATATATTGCATGCCAGTAGCTTCACTGAGCTTCCAATCGAGCCGTCGAGCCGGCGGGTGGGAGCTAGCCGGTACCTCAGTAAAGGTCTCCACGGTGTAGCAGAACATCTTTCCCTCCTACAATTTGCTCAGCCTCTTAGTAAGAATGCAATAGATTTCCAAGTACGATGCCACCGTTGCAGGTCGAGGTTTTCGTTTGTGAACGGCGGAAGTCGTTCGTTCTTAACCGCGTACATTTTTATTAATTTCACGTGCATTTGTTATTGTACATACCTGAGGTGTTTGTACCTACTGTGAGAATTTAATTTCAATATTCCTACCTGAAATTACTTCGCTCTATTGCTCCACCAGCGATCTTGTGCCCCAACGCTTGTTCTCGTGGCTCTGCTCTGAAAGTTCCATCAAGCAGCACAATGCCTGTTACGCTGGGGTTTTGCAATTTTAAGCGTGTTTATTTTAGAGTGTTCTTTACTGGAATAAAATGTACCTTTAATCCGTATGAACTGGAGTTTTAATGAAGAACCAAGTACAATAAAATACCAGCGGTTAAAAATGTTATACAGATGAATATATTTTTACAAGATAGTTGCCGGCGTTTGGCCGTGAAGCTCGAACATTCTGACAAGGTTGCGGCTTGCGGTAACGTCCGGTGACAGGTTTACTATTACTCGTCTGATACCCGAGGATAATCTCCCGGCTACAAGGCACGTGTAGCGGCCTGATAAAAACTGTTGTTCGCCTGGAAATGGCAATCACAACAAAATTGTTGAAACTTCTACTTGAGCTCTAAATCGAGACGGATTCCCTCTAATCCGCTCCCTCTAATCTGCTCCCTCTAATCTACTCCCTCTAATCCGCTCCCTCTAATCCGCTCCCTCTAATCCGCTCCCTCTAATCCGCTCCCTCTAATCCGCTCCCTCTAATCCGCTCCCTCTATGCACACCGCCCTGCACCTCGCCACCATCGCCGGGTGAGTGGGGCGAGGGGCGGCACACCCCATCACCCCAATTATCACCTCTCTACTCTCCTACTACACGAATTTACGAGGATTGTACATGCGGCAGGAACAGTGAACGATGGTATTAAGGGGTGATAAACGATGCAATGACTCCGGCCGCGGTAAACGAGAATTGTTTAAGCTATAATTTCAAAATTTTTTAGTCATTGAATTAAGATCGAATTACACGGTAAGTATCGTCAAGAGAGAACATACTCAGGAGATCAAAAAAGCGTCAGTGTGGTACGAAAAACTGCATTCAGCAGCCGCCAAGACATCTCACCTCACCAGGCAGCTCGGCTTTCATGAGTTCCACGGGCCTCACAATGCCGGGTAAAGATGGAGCTGGAGTGGGTCCTATGAGGTCGTGTGTTGAACTGGAGACCCAAGGTCCATAGTAGCTAAAGTAGGGTACTAAACATTTGACTGAAGCTCTAGAACAGGTGACCCAGGGTCTAGAACAGGTGACCCAGTGTCCAGAACAGGTGACCCAGTATCCAGAACAGGTGACCCAGTGTCCAGAACAGGTGACCCAGTGTCCAGAACCCCTGGGTCCAGAACAGGTGACCCAGTGTCCAGAAAAGGTGACCCAGGGTCCAGAACAGGTGACCCAGTGTCCAGAACAGGTGACCCAGGGTCTAGAACAGGTGACCCAGTGTATAGAACAGGTGACCCAGGGTCCAAAACAGGTGACCCAGGGTCCAAAACAGGTGACCCAGGGTCCAAAACAGGTGACCCAGGGTCCAGAAGAGTTGTAGGTCGCCCCGTGCTAACTTATCCTCCTCTCCTGCAGGTCGGAGTTGCTGGTGCGTAACTTGCTTCTGGCGGGGGCGCAGCTGGGGGCGCTGACCCCCCAGAGGAGGACCTGCCTGCACCTCGCCGCCCTCCACGACCACCCACACATCGCACAAGTGCTCCTTGATAAGGGCATCGACTGCGACGCCCTTGATAGCGACCTTAACAACGCCCTCCACATCGCTGTTAAGGTGGGTGCCCTTAGTGGGCGCTGGTGTCCCTTGTAAGAGGTGCCCTTAGTGGGCGCTGGTGTCCCTTGTAAGAGGTGCCCTCAGCTGGGTGGTACCCCAAATCACTGCCCTTGCGTCATATCAATAATAACCACGCGCTCTCCCGACAGCTGGGCCATGTCGCCGTGACGCGGGTGCTGTTGACAGAGAGTTCCGTCAACGCTACTGCCGTCAACCTGCGTGGACAGAACCCGCTGCATCTGCTCGCCTGTCATCAGCCTGCGTCTGCGCCTGCCATAGCCAAGCTCTTCTGTGAGGTCATGCCAGACTACCCCGTCAACGCGCCCGACGTGCACGGCAACACTGGTGCGCTCCATTATGAACTGCTGGTCTTATCTTTGGATCCTTAGTGTCATTAGTATCCTTAGTGTCCTTACTATCCTTAGTATCCTTACTATCCTTAGCAACCTTGGTAGCTTAAGAATCCTCAGCACATGTTTCTCATGTAACAATCCCTAGCCAGGCAGGAGCGCCGCCTCTGGACCCCGCCCCTCAGCCCGGGAGGTCGTCCTCAGCGTCAAGTTGTCCGGGGCCAGTCCGTAAAGTAGTAACCTGATGTCCTCAGTTGGGCTCAGTCACTAGTCAAGTGTCACTAGTAACCTGTCACTAGTAACCTGTCACCAGTAACCTGTCACTAGTAACCTGTTGCTTGCAGCGCTGCTGCTGTCGTACCAGCGCGGGGGGGCGGCGCTGCTGGACCCGTGGGCGCCGTTGGGGAGTGGCAACTAGTGTGTTGGGGGTGGGGGAAATGTTGTCAGGAGGGTTAGGGTCATCAGTCCCCCTAACACCAGTCCTCATGTGAACGAGGAACATTGTCCACTAATATTAAATATGCTCGATTGGTACAATCATCCATTCTCATGTTCATTTTTGGTCTTGTCACTAAATTATTCTGCAGCGTTTGGCGAAGCTGCGCCAGTAACATAATAGTCAGACCTTACTGCCGTAGGAGCTACCGTACGTAGCGCGAGGTCAGGGGCCATACTTTCAAAACTCGCTAAGTGAACGTAAGTACTTACACTCTATTTTCTTGTCTATGATTGGTGGATTTTGCCTGAAAGGCCGTCAATGATTGGCTAATGAACTTACGATCTCTTGACTTTTTTTGAAAGTATAGGCCATGGGCTGTGTGGCTGTGAGTCGAGAAGTCAGTCGTGTCCTGCCGAGAAGTTCTTGAGTCAGTGCTTGAGTCACTGACTCACTGAGTGAGTCAGTGAGGTTCTTGCTGAGCTCACTCTGCCTTGCTTGTGAAACTATGCTCGAACTCTAGATATCGTGGCTGCACTCGGAATGCTTGTTCACTCTATTTTACTACGATAATCCTATTTTTAAATGTGCCTGTTTTAAAGTGTTCTTTACTGAAATAAGTCTAGTTTTATCCGTGTTATCCAAAGTTTTAATCAGTGGAATCCTATAGTGCAATAAAGTGCTATTTAACGTTTAGCAACGTCATCGTAATTTTACAAGATAGTTGCCGGCGTTTGACCGTAAGGCTCGAGACATTCTGACAAGATTAAAGGTTGCGGCGAACGTCTGGTGACACCCCTAGCACCAGTTCCAGTCCCCCTAACACCAGTCCCCCTAACACCAGTCCCCCTAACACCAGTTCCCCTAACACCAGTCCCCCCATAGGTTCTCGCTGTCGACGCGCCGCCACCACTGCCGGCACTGCGGACGCGTGCTGTGCGGTCGCTGCTCCGACAAGTTGCTCCCCATCCTCAAGTTCGGCCTCGCCAAGCCCGTGCGCGTGTGTCATGTCTGCAGCCTGGTCCTCACACATGGCCCTGGGGCCCTCGGCTGACCCCCTGGTCCTCACGCATGGCCCTGGGGCCCTCGGCTGACCCTTGGACCCTCGGCTGACCTCCGGCCCTCACGGTGTGTCATGTTTGCGGCTTGGTCATCACCCGTGGGCTCTAGGGCCCTCGGCTGACCCTTGGGTCTCACGGCGTGCCACGTTTGCAGCGTGGTCGTCACACATGGCCCTGGGGCCCTCGGCTAACCCCTGGGCCCTCGGCTGACCCTTGGACCCTCGGCTGACCCTCGGCTGACCCCCGGCCCTCGCGGCGTGTCATGTTTGCAGCGTGATCCTTACCGTGGGCTTTAGGGCCCTCGGCTCGCAAGAGCCACGTTTCGTTTGTTATGCAGGCTGGCGATCAGATCTCGTGTGTTGCTAGGGAGATATCCAGTGCAGGATATCTAGTGCAGGATATCCAGTGCAGGATATCCAGTGCAGGATATCCAATGCAGGATATCTAGTGCAGGATATCCAGTGCAGGATATCCAGTGCTGGATATCCAGTGCAGGATATCCAATGCAGGATATCTAGTGCAGGATATCCAGTGCAGGATATCTAGTGCAGGATATCTAGTGCAGGATATCGAGTGCAGGATATCGACCTCATGTTGCGCTGATTGGCTAGTGACGCCTTGGTTCTATTTAATGTGTTCATCTTCTCATTATCTTACCGTTAATATGAAGTTCCGTTTAGCTGCTTTTAGGCTAACTTACCTGACATCTTGTTGACATCGCCATTCTATTTTGGTGCAAAATATAAACCATTCTATTCGATGACGGTTCAGTTACAAATGTTACACTAATGATCATTTTAGTTACGTATCATTTGAGTTAGTTGTTAATTAGGGTAATAGTTTGTGAAGCGGCGCTACTTTCTCAGAAAAGTCAACGTTTCGCCGGCGCCTTGGTATAGGTCGACACGCCGAGGCGCAACGCGCGCGTGTCATCGGCGTGTCGGAGGCGAAGTTTTCACTTCATGCGCGTCCTCATTTTACCGCCCACCCAGCTCCTCCTTATGCACGAGGCCTGTATTGCCTGCTCCGTCTGGCACCTGTAGTCTCGTCTGGCACCTGTAGTCTCGTCTGGCACCTGTAGTCTCGTCTGGCACCTGTAGTCTCGTCTGGCACCTGTAGTCTCATCTTTCTAATTTAAATTTAAAACGTTGCTCATTTCAAAGTGAAGTGCATTTTCTATCGGTGTGATGAATGCTTTTTTTATTTGCATGCAGACATGAGTAGACGTGCATGTAAATACGTGAAGAGTCAGGCTTGTATTGCCGTCCTGCATTACACGTGGATGTCAGGCATTTCTTCATAGTAAGTAAGTAAAATTTTGAAGCTATAAAATGTTGCTCTATTATTAAGGATATTGTATAAGCTGCTGATGAACACAAGACTTCGGTTTGGCCACGCGCTATGGCCTGAGCTGGAAGAGTTCAGGCTCGTTCTCATGTATGAACTGCAGAGATGGTCAGCAAGCATTCCATGGTCACCTATAATTGTAGTTTGAACATAGGTTTATTTCTAATAAGTGAAATTTTGTTACGTTGTTAACCGCGAAGTGCGCTGAAGTGCCCTGATACCCTCAGCCGTCAAGTCCCTTACTGACGTGAAGCTTACATTCTGAGGAAGTAGCTCAACTCTCCACATTTTTGGAGGCTAAGCCACTTCCATTCCTCATAACAACTCCTCCAGGTCGATTTTTCACCACCACCCCCCCCCCCGCCGAGTGCTCGTCCCCAATCGCCCCAGCTTTGCAGACACCGTGGCGTGGTTCACGCAGTTTTTTGCATATTAAATGATACGATAAATAAGAATTGGTGATGTGGAAGTAAAAAAAACCTCGTGTATTTCCTGCGTGTGACGGTCGATGCCCCGTTGCCATAAGGGTCAGCCTGCGGCCTCGTCAGGCTCTTATTGGTGATAATAACGCGACTCCGTCCATTGTCTGGCATTCATTGGGAAACAGTATATAAGCAGTTCCTTATATTCAAGCTTTATATGTATGGCGTTCATTGGAAAGCAGTGGAATCATTTCCTTGTATTCAAAGCTTTGCATGATACTGTAGCACCGCAGCTTCATGACGTATCAAGCACGGATAAGTTATTTCACTAAATATGAAGAACAGAGCTGCTAGAATATAAAATTGGAGGGAAGACCCGGCGTTTCTCGGAGGAGATTGTCTGCCCGTCCCCAGACCAGCACGTTCTTCAGTCCATACAGCGCCTCGGGACGGCTGTGTACAGCATCACGTAGCTATTCGTGTCACAACGTATTGCTAAGAATATGAGAATTTTTGCATTAATTTATATGTTTAATCTAAAGATGCAATTATCGTTAGACTCGACCCGTGCAGAAAGCAGATTTGCCGCATTTTCATGTTATAATCACGAAATTAGGATACTAACATCGTAACGACGCGACAATCGCTTCTATGTTCTAAACCTGCATTTCAATTTGCCATTGAGCTGTGTTCGAAATGTTAACAAAGTTTAATGCAACTGAAACGTACAGAAAGAAGAGCGAAAATTGCTCCTGTTCTCCGCGAAGTAATTACAATATTAAAATTACGTTGCATTTTGCGAATGGGCGGTCCTACGCATGCTGAATTTCTAGCGCCGATTATCTTGCAGATTTGGGACCTTCTCTTGTATTAAATATTAACCTACTTGCAAAACCCTCTTCACATTCCATGCTTATTGTGCCTCGCTCCGATTGCTCAGTGTAATTCTTTAAAAAAAGTAATCCCTTTATGCAGAACCTGAACAAATGTTTGAAAAGTTGTCGAAGTGGTAGGCAAAGTAGACAGGTTCTCTATTAAGTTGTAATAAGATTTTGTCAAATATAAATCAATATTTACTATATACCAATTTTATTTCTCCCTTGAAGCTTATTTGTGGTAGTTACTTAAGCTTCGACACAAATATTCAATTATACAATGTAGAGAAGATTTACGATCTGCCAAGCCAGAATTAGTAATGATCGAAGCATCGGTCACGTAAGGAATTAAATTATCTTGGACATATTTAAAGTAATATACTGAAGAAAACTGTACCTATTAGCTCTTGCGAGAAAAGCAGTTTAGAGTAGATTGACCCTGTCCAGCTCTTCTTGCGCAAACATAACATAGTGATGTCGGCGCTGAAGTTTTCATCCTCCAATAACAGAATTTCTTACAACTCTGATCCATCACGTTAGCTGTCGCAATACATATATCTCGGACTCGACAACGAAATCCAATACATTTATTTATAAAAGCATTAATTCGGAACACACAAATAATATATACGCAATAGTAATAGCGCTTTTAGCGTTGATTAGGCCATTAAACCCGCCGTCGATTATTAAGATCGCAGAATACTCACAGCTTGTGGCGGGTCTCGAACACGCAACTCACAGCTCCAATTTTGCTGTGCTGAACCGCCCGGCCTCTTCGCCGATTCTAAATAGAAACAGACGCAGAGAGCTGGAATCGCACCCGCACCTCTCTGCTGCAATCCAGGGTAATCCAGAGCTGTAACCGAAAACTCTGAACTGTAACCCTGCCCAGCTACCGAAAAATTTCATTGGATTTCTATATTATAAAAAAGAATATGATAGTTTTACATTGTTTCAAGACATCACCACAATAATTACATTACCATAGGACATTACTACAATAATAAATTACTCGATATCGTTCCCTGGATGAACAGTTTTTTTTTTTGCCAGTTGAGCGAGCGACGATGCAGGAAATTTCACTTCCGTTTCCGTCGCAGGAAATTTACTCGAGTTATCCTTATCGCATAACATTTGCCTAATAAAGCCAAGAATAAAGGTGCTCAACCATTAAAAAACAAAAACACTATCTCCAATTAAGATAATGCTCATTCATACAGTCATTCGGTTTGTGTGTGGGATTTGAGAAGTCCGGGTGAATGATTCACGATTCCACCCCGGTTCCTCCCTACAGCTACTCGGAACAAAATGGCCGCGTATGGTTACACATCGATGATTTCGTTTAAATTATGTTAATAAATTTGTAATTTCCTGAATTTTGATCCGCAGAAATAATGCGCGTCTGTATCAAAATTTATGACAATGTGTTAATTGTACTCATGTTCCAGTGTTTACCAAAAATATAAATTCCTAAACTGGATGGGGTGTTGCTAGCGTGCTCAGCTGTGTGAGGTCATGCGATAACTGTTGGTCTGACACTGACGCATCTTAGCTAATTGATGCGTCTCCATATAATGTTAAGCTGTTAATGTGCTCGTGAAATAGGACTGTTACCAGTATGGGTGAAGTGCCTCCTGGCGACCAACCTAATGCCAATGAAGACTCAATTCAAGTTGTGGCCAGATTTCGGCCCTTGAATGACTCCGAAGAAAGGGCCGGGTCAAAATTTGTAGTTAGCTTTCCAAGTGGTAAAGGCCAAGAGGAGCAATTTGTTTCTATAGGGGTGAGTAACTGCTTATCAATTTGTTTTAAAATCTTTTCATGTCTCGACTTTTTAATGTGCTTGTAATTTTGAAAATAAACTCTCAATAGTCATCTAGGCCAGGCTTCCTTTTCCCTGAGTCTGATGCTGGTGGAAAATGAATTTCTTACATCTGAGCCCCAGCCCTCAGAGTCTCTGAGTCTGAGTTTTTCTGACTGACTGACTGACTGAGCAAGTGTACAGTACCTAATTTGTGAGGAATTTCTAGTCGTAGTTACTATTAATGTATACTATTTTACATGCCATTTTGAAAAATTCTGGCTTATATTCCAAATTGATAATAAATAATAGTGAAACCATGCCAATTTTAGTTCTGATTCATAATAAAGGATTTTTATTGACATGGTCATGGGCCAAGTTAAATCTTTGCAGGCAAGCATTGAAACAGGCATCAATTATATTAATGCCTCACTAACAGCCATCAAATAGAGTAAACGCGGTAAATTCCGACACATTAACGATGTAGCAAAAAATGAATGGCTATAAAAAAATTGCCGTATGCGCAACTCGAGTTCTGTTTGCTATACGTCACTCTCGAAACACCGCACTATGCGCCAGCAACAATGAAACATCACAAAATAATGCCATATTTATTTAAAAGCCTTTAGAATGCAAACCTACCAAATCCATATATTCTGATGCTGTGTGTGACTAAATTTGGCATTTTGTGAGATTAATTCCGGCCACTCTTTAAACTCTACTAATTCGTAATTCCGACACTCTTGTGTTCGAATACCGATCGCTGTGTGAGCTGTATTGGAATACAACTCAGCTTGGAATCAGAACACTATTGAATATTGAACACTACTTAATTAGGCTTTTAATTAAGAGCTATTAAGCTTTTAATTAAGAAAATTTTAATTTTTGTAAACAGCTCGGTACGAGCTGTGCTTGACCTCACAAGCTCGAGCTTACACACAGCTCAGAACAAGTTGTGCCTGTGTGTGTCTAATTCCAAGCTGTGTCGAATTAGTTTTTATGCGTCTAAAACCGTCTCTTGACTTAATCATCTATTAATTTATTTACCACTTAAAATCAGCAAATACAAGTATACTTGAAGGATTCCTAATATATTCACAGACTTATTTAAAAGTCTTTCTACTAATATTCTTTCTACTCAAACAGTTTATCACTACTTGGTAGAGCAAGGTCAACTATCAACTTTGACACATTTTTCGATGTTCTCACTGGGTGACGCGCACTATCTCGTTTTGGATCTCAACATTTTCCCGCTACACGGCCCAGACCTAGTGTTTTGGCAATAGTATGGCACGCAATAGTATGACATCACTGTTTCAACCATCAACAAATGCGTGGAACTAAGACAAAGCTTAATATGAAGGGAAAAAGTTGAGAAGTGTCGGAATTACCCATGATGTCAGAATATACCGCGTTTACCCTATATCTACTTGGTGTTGGTGAGCCGCAACTGGATTTTTTGTGCCGTGGTTTTATGGATTTGCCAGCCATGGTTCCATATCTTTGAGCCCTAATTCCATACCTTCAAATGGGATAATAAGGGACGGTTTTGAGCATTTTTGTTAATAACTTCTTAACATGAAACATTTCATCAACAAGTTTAGGCTCATTTTATAGCTCTGCGAATTGCGAGGGCTATTGTGTGGCATCACCAAAAAATTCCATATGCTCTTTGTGAGGTGCCAGATGCAAAATAAAAGCATCCCAAATTACAGGGTCTGCCATATACCTATATGAAAATGCATGTTTTTTGTTATTTCTCAATCAAACAAACAGGTGCATTGTTTTTTTATTAGATGAGCTTTTAGCCAAGAATTACCTAAACAATTCTCAGACATATTTATTCAATATGACCACCCTTATTTTTAATGGTGGCCTCCAATCTACGCAGGAAAGCTTCACAGGAGATACGCAGTATTTCTTGTGGGATAAAGTCCCATTCTTGGGTCAATTTAGACTTCAAATTATCCAAAGAATCACGAGGTGTTCTGCAGACCCTACTCTCTAAAATAGCCCACACAGAAAAGTTAAGAGGATTCAAATCAGGGCTTCTTGAAGGCAATTCAGTTTTGCTAATGAATGCTGGGATGTGACTATGAATACAGTTTTGGGCCATGTGATGGGGCAGAGTCTTGTTGAAAACTCCATGGTGACCGTTGAAGTGCTTATGGGCCCAAGGTATTAACTCGGCTTCCAAAATGTCCAAAATGTATCACTGACTGTTCAATTTCACTCCTGAGGGGACAAAAACGAGTGGGGACCTCCCAGTGGCGTTACCATGGCCCAAAATACCACGGACATGAGATTTTGACGTCGTGTTGCTGTTTTGGTTGCCACAGATCTATCCCGACTTCAAACTCTGTCATTTTGACAGTTAAAGATTTGTTTAATGTCAAATTTTTTCTCGTCACTGAACACCAAGTTGGGTAGCGTGTCATCCTCAATGAGATCCAGAATGTGCTGGCATCTTTTGAGCCTCATTCGTTCATGATGGTCTGTTAGTTCATGCCTTGTTTGCATCTTGTAAGGGGAGGTTTTGAGGTCATCTTTGTGGACTCTACGCATTGATGTCTGTCTGACTCCTGCTTCTGCAGCCAATTTTGCAGCTGAGCAACATGTATTTCTCCTTCCTCGTGTTTTTGACCAATTGTTTTGTTCAAACACTTTGTTTCCTTCCTTGACCAGGTTTATGGCATGTTTCGCCAGTTTTGTTGAATTTTTTTACCACCTTCCACACAGTTTCATGATGAATTTGGAGCTTTTTTGCAATGACTGAATTACTTTCACCCTTTTCATGAAGGGTTACAGTTGCATTTCCATCTACTGTCATAAGTAATACCGTAAACTGGGGTAACTTAGACTCCCGGGGTAACTTAGACCACTTTTGGTTTTTTTAACAAAAACCCCCAAAACTCAAAAACTATTTGACATAGAAAAATTCTGTCAATGGGCATTAAAGGCCTAATACTGAGGCTACTATCAAAACTATGAGAGGCAGGAGCCAGCAATTTATGGTGAGTGAAGCTAGAGTATAGATCTGTATTTTGCATGTTTCAATTTAAGTTTAACTTATCTAGTAAAAAAATGGCATCATTTAAAAAAAAAAAAGTGGTCTAAGTTACCCCAGTTTACGGTAGTAAATTTAGACACCTTGGACTTCTGCAGAATAAAATAGATGAATTAATAAATGATATTGAGCTTCATTATAAAGGAAATGTCTCCTAGAAACCAATTTATTTTGTCATAGCAAACATCTGTTGCCATAAATATGGCGGACCCTGTACCCCCTGGGAACAGGGTAATCTGGGACATTTGAAATAAAACTTAATTTAAAACGTTTGAGGCATGCAGAGTGTACTCATCTATTACTAACAGTAATCTGAAGTTTTCCTTTTCCTTTGTAAATAATGTATGTAGATGTAGACTGAATGACATTTTCTGTGATATTTACTTGTTTTTCCTTTATTGATATAATAGTACCATATCCTGTAGAAAATTCATACAAGCATAACGGCTAACAATTTTATTAAAAATCCAGTGAACAAAACTTCGGATCCAGCAAAGTAGAATACCAGAACTGCAGTAGATGCAGTTGAGGAAACTGAAATTAGAAAAATAGATCTTTCTAAATGAATGCCGGAGATTGAGAAAGTATTTTATCAATTATGCTCAGTAATTCCAATTTAGCGGTACAAAACTTGACAGTGAACGCATTACCCAGTCTAACCTCAAGTGAAACAAAATGTACAGCAGAAATAATGTCGCGCTGGCTGCATTGGAGGCATGAAGCACACGGCAAAAGAGATGCGATGAGAATACTGGAGGTTATACTGAAAGTGATTGTTACAAATCATGATTAGATTGATCAACAAGTGCTATTGTATTGTATGCAATTATTCATTATGAGGATCAAGATATATGTATCAATTTATATAAAGTAAGATTGAATATTTCAAGACTAACCTTCTAATTTATTACTGCTTTGGTCAATTTAGAAGTGGCTTGAAAGCTATTTAGAGGTAGGTGTTTGACAGTGCAATTGAGTGCAAAGGTTAGTATATTAATGAATGGTTGATCCAACTTGGACAAGTTAATAGGGTTAAAGCGCCACAGGGTATAACGTTAAAGGCTCGAAAGCCGGCAATACTGCCAAGTAAATTAATGCATCAGAGACGTCTTAACACGTTGACTACATTTGCTTCATCTTGTACAATTGTTTCATTTTTTGTACTTTTTTTTAAGCAGGGTTGCCAGACAGTCATTTTTTCTAGACAAATTCTGTGATTTAGTTTTTCTCAATTGCGTTCGCCGGCTAAAATTTATGATAGAGGTACTTCCTAATTAAATTTTAATTACTGACAAAAGAAAATAAATGGAATTTTTATAGCGGAACCTACCAATAAACTAGTATATATTGAATTATCTGCCTTTTTTGGCCTTTTTTTTCTCGGATTTGGCCGATTTTAGGCTACCTGAATTATGTACCACTACCGTAAAATGGGGTAACTTTGACCACTTTTTTTTCAAAATGATGCCATTTTATTACTAGATAAGTTAAACTTGAATTGAAACATGCAAAATACAGGTCTATACTCTAGCTTTACTCACCATAAGTTGCCGGCTCCTGCCTCTCATAGTTTTGATGTAATTTCAAAAAAAGTGAGGGTCTTTGTTACCCCAGCTCTTTGGATTTCTTTGACTGGGTGGTAAAATCAATTTTATTTTTTGGTAAAATAACTCCAATTAACTCCAGGTTTTGGTGCATTGTAGTAGAACTCTTCTAGTTACATATGCAAATGACAAATTTGTGGGAGGTGTCATAGTTTGCAAATTGGGGCACTGCCCCAATGGCCAAAATGTGACCACCTAATGGCAGCCATGACGGGGTAACATTGACCGGCTTGGAAATTAAGTTAAAATTACCATATATAAGACTGCAGAGTCTGAAACACAAAGAAAAAAACATTAATAGGTGTATCAAACATAAAATATGTTATATAGGTACCTATGGTAATTTTAACTTAATTTCCAAGCCGGTCAATGTTACCCCGTAACAGGGTTGGTGATTTTTTGATTTTTTGAAAAAAATCAATAATCAATTATTTTTTGGATTTTTTCAGGATTTTTTTATTTATTTGATTTTTTTGATTTTTTCAACTTTTTTGTCTTTTTGAAGTGTTATTTTTTATGTTACAATTAGCCTACTAACAATAACAGTATACGTATGGATCATAATGGATGACTAAAAAGGGCACTTATTGCCTTCAATAATGGCCAACAGGCCAAGGTGGTGTTCACCAATTAGGGATTTTTGGGTAAACATTTATTGGTAAGTCTATTCATTAGCTTTGTAAAGTTTGTATGGAGCAAGGTAATGAGCTAAATATTGACCATTTAACTGGCTTCAATATACAAAAACACTTCAGGAATGCAGATCTTCTAAACATTGAAG